ATACTTCCAATGTTATAACTTCTTCTATTTTCTTTTTTCCATAGTTTTTTTTCATTCTTAAAGAAAACCAATACCATTAAAGAGTAACTTCAATGCATGCAAAAAAAAGAAATAAAGTTAAAAAGGCAGAAAAAATAATAAAATAGAGTAGGAAAAAAAATTAAAATTAAAGAGAGTGTCGATAGATTTCCCCTTTACAAATAGTCATTATAGTAAGAATTACTACAAAATGTATAGATGAGAAAGAAACTCAATGTCTCCACCCTTTATTGCTAAACTTCAGCATGTTTAAAAGATTGAATTCCTTTATTTATTGAGGCAATGCTTATATGTATATCTTTATGCTTACTAAAAAATGAATTCAATCTTATTTTACTAATTTGAGTGTTCTTCACTCTTTCTTCCATTATTTTTCTCTAAATTCCTTTTTTTGCATAAGCTTTTTAGAATTTTATTTTTTAGGAAACAAAGAAAGCAAAAGAATAAAATAACCTACATTGTTATAATTGTTACTTTTAATTTCTTGCTATATTCAATACCTCTTTCAAATTCAAACATTTTAATATATTTTGGCACTTATTAATTTGGATGTATGATTCAATTATTGCAATCCAAAAAGCAACAATATTGTGAATGATACTTTTGTATACTCTTAGTTGTATGTTACATTTGTCCATTTATATATTACAATTTTAACATTTTTTTCTTTCAAGAAGAAGTATGTGGTCACATTCAATTAGGAAGCCTATTATTCAGTGATAAAATGGAATTTGAGACAATACAAATAACTACTAAAAGTAAAAATATAACCACCAACGTGTGTTTATACAAAACAGTCAATGGATATTAAGAGAAATAGTAATTGTTATTTTGTGTTTTATCTCAATTGATTCACCATATAGTGTTCTATCACTATAAAACAAAGTTTGATACCATTATATTTTAAACAATTTCGTGAGTAAATTATAGATTTTATTAAAGTTTTATTGGGTGTTTGATACATAATGAGTTTTTTCATTGTCTTCTATTAAAAAAAATTTAATATAGTAAATGATATTTTGGAAAGAATTGTACATCTATAATACCACCCTTTTGAGTCATATCAATTCTATTTTCTCTTCATTAAGCTTTTTATGAATCTTAATTAATCTTTTCAACAATTTGTTAGCTATAAAATTATTTTTTTGGCAACATAGTTTGAAAGAGACACCACATCCATAATGTGAAGCAGTAAAATTAATCCTTAATTATTTTTTACACCTCTCATTTGGTGGGTAAATAATCATTGAACTCTTTCAGAAAAGTTTTTGCTATTACAACTGCTAGTGCTGGAAAAATAGCCCTTATGTTTTGTGATAATTTATAATTATTTATATGTTACTTGGTGATATAGTGTTCTTTGGATGTATTTTTTAAAATTGATAATTCTTCTTCTTGTATTTTCAGATTGTATTTGAAATTTCATCTTTATCTTTGATTTCATAAATATACTTGTATGGGGACAATTGAGAACATCCAAATAACACATTTAAAAATCAATTGAATAAGACCTTTATATTTTCTATAGAAATAGTCATATATAGTGTTTCTTAACTTCTTTTAATGAGATTAACTTAGTTCTAAAATTGATTCTTTAAAACTATTTATTGTTTGCATCCATTACTCTTCTCCCATTTCCTTAAACAAAATATCTAATTTTTGGTGAAACATAGAAGCATCTTTTCAAATCTTGGACATAAAAAAACTTGATTATATCATTATGTTTTTTTCAACAAAAACAAATGAACAGTTTGAGCTTGTTCTAATAGAAGAATCAATAAATAATTCTATTCATTTACATGTGATTGAGATAAGATAAGCATATGCAGTTAGCAAGTGTTGATAGTGATAAGAAATTTTAGCCCATCAAGGATTTTGTTATTTCAATAGATGATTTTTGACACTGCTCTTTGTGCAAGGTGGTTCTTTGTTCCTTGGAAGTTCTTTCCAGCTGGAAGAGAGTTGGAGGCCTTGAGAGCCATGAGGAAGGTCCTCGCATTTGGGCGGCAGCTCAAGCGCTAGCATTTTATGTCCAGGGGTGAGACTGCATTGAGCCTTTTCTAGCCATGCAGCATGGAAGCAAACCCAGAGTTGTTTGCAAAGCATGATCCAGATGGAAGTGAATTCAAGGTAGGCGAGAGACCACCATCTAGAAGAAGAAGACCTAAAACTCCTATGATCTCATGTAGATCATACAATCGATCTCGTTAAGTTCTCCTTCCATTTGCTTGCTATCGTAGCCAAAATCCAGAATTGAATTGCCTTTCCGGTGAACAACCTCACTTGAGCAATCGTGGTTGTGATGCTACTCCCATTACGTATCCGCTTTGTCCAGCCTTGCCCATGCACGCTTCGTCTGCTTTTGTCTCCCGAGGATCGTCCGCTTTCCCGAAGGCTCATTCTCATGGGGCTATTGTATTTCTAAACACAGGCATTAAAAAAAATAAACAAGAGTGAGACGTTGAAGTCAGGACCACGCTTTGACGGGCTGACGGTCAACGGTAAGGACACTCAATGGCTGCCTGGCGGGATCTAGGCCGGCGCTGGAGGAGATTCGCGCAGCGGCGCGGCTACTCCGAGTTGGAGATCGGGGTCGCTGCTCCAGCCTCGTCTGCCACTGTGCCGCGCGATGGATCGGCAATGGTGGAAGAGCCGCGCAGCCCTGGCCAGGCGACCATCACCAATCGCAGCTGCATTGAGCTGCTTTGGAGCTTGGGCATCAGCAGTGCCGGCATCGTCATTGTCGACCAGAGGCCAGTGGAGTGGCGATGAAGCCTTTCCTGGTAGTGATGAAGGGGCATCCAGCCACAGGGGTCTAACGCTCGCCGAATCCATGGCCAAATCCTACTAGCGCAAGCTTCCATACAGGTGAGCTATTCTTTCAGCACTAGATTTTCTACATCTTTTGTTTTCTGAATTTTTACCACAACTATGTTCATGATTCTCGGGAGGAGGCAACCATCAAATCCCACAATTTGGGACTGAGCCACGGTGGAAGCGTACACAAGGTCGTGGCTGGCTTTCCCAGTACACTCAATTGTGGGCGATCTGAGCTCATCAAACAAGAATGTGGAACCCAGGTACGGACATGCCGATAGTATGACAGATTCTCCTGTTGCGGGCAGCCATGTCATGGCGCTTGTTAACTTCTTTGCTGCGGCAAGACTGATCCGGCTGGGAGTCTTAAACGCACCCTAAACTTTGCCAGCTGCGAGATGGAGAGAGGGAATTCCAATCCATTGTATTGAAAAACAGGCACGTTTCTCTCCAGCTGTCTCAACAGAGCATGCTTCAATCGCCAATGCTTGCACTATCTTTCGGCCTGAAGCTGAGGATCATCCATGGATCAGCTGTAGATTCAGGGGTTGCACACAATCGAGATGTGTGAGGCGACGGCGTGGGCTAAGATATTCCTCGACCTCTTCTTTAGAGTAGAGATCTTCCTGCATTTCAGGCACGGCGCCAACATCTAAGAGCTGTAAGTTCATAGCCGATTCTTCCTTCAGGGAAATCTCTAAGCTAAAGAAGCTTCTGACTTTCTAAGATCTTTTCATGAGAAGTCTAGCATCGCAAGCTTCGATCGCATGCTAGAGGATGTTGTCGGCGACATGGAGGTGGATATCAACAGTGACGTGGACATCGTGGATGCTACCGCGAGCAATGCAGCCCGGCACAGAGGGGTTTGAGCGAACTGTACTCAATTTTCCTGAGGCTCTTCATATTTTCTGCTAGTCTTCCCTGTGGCCTCCGCATAGAAATGAAACAGCATCGCACAGACAATAGCAGCCGCAAGTGCAACAGCTTGAACTTGCCATCCAACCGGTGGAGCAAGGGCAGCCATGTCGAATCATAAACAGCTAGTTATTGACTCAACAGAACTACTGCTTCTTACCAACTGGGAATCATCGCTCATCTGGTGAGGACACTCTCCAGGTGATCCAACAGCTCCTTGGCTTGCCACTGGCTTGCCGCGGTCCAAAAGTCAGGGCCGTTAGAGCCGCCACAAAACTGGTCCTCCAAAAATTCAGTTCTCTTGGGACTGTAATCGAAACTATGAACATCGGAAAAAAAAAACAGAATCACGCTTACATGCTGCTCTCTCCTCTCGAGAATCATGAACATGGAAAACAAAAGAAAGAGGAAAGAGCTACATGCCAGGCAACGATCACTATCGAGCTTGACCTGCGTCGACTTCCCTGTGGGGCCGCTAACGCAACCTGCTATACAGGTAAAACTCCTGAGTGCCGATCCAAACAAAAAGAGTAAACCCCACTTTCTTGGTTTTAGGGTTCTTGCATTGTGCGTGGATCGATGGCAAGCAATGGTGGAGGAGGAGGCGACGCAGGTGAGACACTGGAGACAATGCAGCTGCTCCCCCCGCCGGCCATTACTGTCGCGTCGTCTGGTGAGCTAGGCATTACTCCTGCCAATCGTGGCCCTGCTCTCTGTCCAGGGTCGCACTGGCAAAAGCTGATGCTAGCGGCAGCAATTGCCATGACAGTGCTGATGCACTTGGTCCCACAGCTGTCCCATGACGTTGACAAGACATCCTTAGCTTCTACTGTGAACAATGCATTGCTCTACGGACTCATAGGTGATGTTTCCTTCATCAGTATACACATTGACTTTGATTTTTTGTTTTGTGTTTTATAAGTAGTCATAAACTGTTTGACATGGATGGTATAGAGGCAAGCCGATGAGAAGTTTCTTGTCGATCAGTGAACGTTTTTGGGTTTGGCATGGAACTTGTCTACATTGTGTACGTGTAAACAAACCATGTCAAACCCAAAAGCGTTCACTACTTCGACAAGAAACTTCTCATTGGCTCGCCCATGTACCATCCATGTCAAGTAGTTTATGGCTGTTTATAAAACACAAAACAAAAAATCAAAGTTAATGTGTATACTAACGAAGGAAGCATCACCTGCAAGTCTGTAGAGCAGTGCATTGTTCACAACGAAATGACAAAGGCACTTCACTGGCCAACAGGCATAGCTGCTGTGTACTACATTATGCTTGTCTATGGCGTGTTGTACCACCGTTGGTTCGACAAGACACAGGGTCTGCAACTGCTTCTCACTCTGGACTGCATTGGCATTGCCACCACACTTGCTGCCACTGGATTACCTTGCCTCATCCGTTTGGTATGTACTTCCAGAATTCGTTTGCGCTCTTAGAGTTTTCTAATTTTTCCTTTTGCATAGTTTCGTCATCCAGATGCGCCTCCTGCGAGCATCCTCGTGGCTCTAGTGGCCTGTGTGTGCAATCTGCTCTGGGCAACCTTCTCTTTCCTGGCTGGGAACTACACGATGATGGTAAAGTTTTCTTTGCATTTCTCTCCATTAAGCTAATACATTTTTTATTGCAGATTGCTACGAGTGCCGCGGTTTGCTTTGGAGGGCTTCTTGCTCTCCTTTCATGGTTCTGAGTACTTCCACCACTCTTTTTTGGCTCCACACGAGATGGAGAGTCTTTTTCCCTCTTGAGTTTTGTTTTTTTATCTCTATGTTTAGTAGAGAGTCAGCACGACAATAAAATCTGTTCGATACACAGTACTTTCTCCTATTCTCTAAATCTATGCAGAAATGGAGATAGATCTCGACGGGGTTTTCCTGCAATAAACCGAGAACATGAATCACATCTAAAAGGAAAAGCATGCACCTACCAAATCTCTCAGGCGTTCCGAGATTGGGAGCTCTTGGCCTGTCCTTTTCCTAAAATAATAAACCAAATCGACATTTCGTACAGTCAACAAACACGCCTTCCTTGTTCTATTACCCTTTACGCGGTAAACAAAGAAAAGCTGCTTACTAGTAAATATATTTATATTAAGTTTGTTTTCTTCTCATGCACCTCACAGCATCCCAGATCAAAGAGGAAATGGAAAACTGGTGCTGCATCGAAGTAACGATGTTCAAAACTAGAGCAGCAGCAGAACTGGGCAGAGCTCACCATGGATTCGGGTGGGTTGGTATTTCTTCAAACTTTGGTTCCCATTCTAACCATCCCATATAACACTTCAGGGTTTGCTAAGCAATCAAATGTATCTGCTCTCAAGTATTTGGTCAGGCACCTATGTGCATGGAGTACGTGTAAGTTATAACTTTGCTTTGCAAGACTGACAGGGAGACATGGAAGTTTGAGGGAGATCACACTTGCAGGCTAATGAAGAGGCTGGACCAAGCTTGTCTCTTGTTTACATGCTGCTGAGGTTAGCTGCTCTGTAGATTAACTCCACGTTGTCTAAAATATTTTCTAAATTCTCTAGGGCGAGCAAAACTGTGCATGCTCCCAGTGCATCTGTCAAATGGCCTTGAGGAGAAAGCGGGTTCATGCCCTCTTATGATGACATAGATGCAAGAGGCAAGTTCGCTCTTCCTACAGTGACAAACCTCGTCCTCTATCAGAAGATGTCTTAGTGATTTATTGTCATGGAAACAGGTTTGTCCGAAGGATTCTTTCCTCCATTTCTTTATTCGTTGGCTGTGGCGCTGATTCCAGGCAACACTTGAGCTTTTGAATTTGGAGCACAGTAAACTTGTTCGTTCCAGTATTAAGTAACACAAATAATTAGATTAAAAAATATTATAGGCTAGATCTTCTTGGATATTCTACGTATGTTTTAAAGCATATTCTTAGTACCACAATACTACAAGGTGCTTACCACATTTTTTTTTCCTCAAGGAGTGCTTTTTCACCCTGATCTAATTATCACGTATTGTTGGTTGGGATTGTGGAAGCAACCGAAGTGAGGAGAAGCACCATAACTCATTTTAGCATGTTTTATGGAGTTTATATGGACAGTTTTCATCACACCAACATGTAGATTAAAAGAAATTCCTTTCCACTATGTTCATAAATATTTTAAACTAATCCACCAGATTGGGACCATCAACAAAGGCTCTTATTTCCTTGAAATTTTCAAGCTTTTTTTCCGCATGATAGGGATTGTTAAAGGTGGCTGGTATTGAGGCATTATTAAAGCTATACGTTAGACCTGGAATGCTTACAGTGTCCAATCGAACTTCAGCTTCATAAATGTACATAGTAGATTTCCTTGCAAAAGTTTTCAACATATTTTCTCTTTCAGGTATGGGATAGTAAGAGGATTTGACAAGGTTCCCTCACACTAACCAGAAATGATCTCTCAACTCCCTAGAGTTGCGTGCCATGCAACTAATTGTAGATTACATCGTGACCTTGGCAAACGAGTGCAGAGAGAGAAAAGAAGCCCTTGTCAAAACACTTAGCATTTGCTAGGTAATTTCTAGTCTATTGTGATATTTATTATGGTTTACCTTTTTCACTTGTTTTACCAAGAAAAGCTCAAAGATTTTATCTTGTCATGGGTGGAGAAAGCTCTAAGATTAATGGTGTTTTTGTGTATGTTTTTAGACATTCTTAATGCTTGTTATGATTTGGCGACAGCCAATATTTGATCAAAGCCAACACTTCTATGGCATTGTCAGCTGCACAAGCCAAAGCCCAGATGATTGATCCCTGATCACCAGCAAATCACTGTCACAATCATCACAGAGACTAACAGCATTGCATCATGACCACCTCAAGATGGTCAAGCTTGACAACTGTGGCAAGGATGAGATTCTAGGACAGGGGATTCTAATTCGATATACCCTCGTGGAGCCCCAGGCAAGACTAGTTTCTTCAATGCACACAAAAGCTGTAAGAAGGTCAGAGAAAGACTTGGACCACTCCTGCTGGAGAACACTGGTTTAAATTTAAATCCTGGAACTGCGGTTGAGTTGACACACTCATTCTCCTCAAAGTTCTTGCCTCGCGGCTGCCAAATTTTAAACAGGACTCAACAGAACTACCAACTGGAAATCATTGCTCATCTGGTGAGGACACAATAGCTCCTTGGCTTGCCACAATCCCACACGCGAGCACTCATGGCTTGCTGCCCAGTGCCACACACGGAGCACTCTTCTTGAACTCGATAGTATGAGATTTGGCCTTGGCTTTTTTTTCCTGTAATTTATTGTTGAGTAGCCACCAAAAACTGAAACAAACCAGCCGAAACAACCGTCATCACTACCAGGAAAGGCTTCATCGCCACTCCACTGGCCTCTGGTCGACAATGACGATGCCGGCGACTGCTGATGCCCAAGCTCCAAAGTAGCTCAATGCAGATGCGATTGGTGATGGTCGCCTGGCTAGGGCCGCGATGGATCGGCTCTTCCACCATTGCCGATCCATCGCGCGGCACAGTGGCAGACGAGGCTGGAGCAGCAACCCCGATCGCCAACTCGGAGTAGCCGGGGCCGCTGCGCGAATCTCCTCCAGCGCCGGCCTAAACATCCCGCCAGGCAGCCATTCGCGTATTGAGTGTCCTTACCGTTGCCCGTCAGCCCGTCAAAGCCATCGCCACGTGGTCCTCACGTCATGTTGTTTATTTTTTTTAATGCCTGTGTTTAGAAATACAATAGCCCCATGAGAATGAGCCTTCGGGAAAGCGGACGATCCTCGGGAGACAAAAGCAGACGAAGCGTGCATGGTCAAGGCTGGACAAAGCGGATACGTAATGGGAGTAGCATCACAACCACGATTGCTCAAGTGCACCGGAAAGGCAATTCAAACAGGTGCCTTACTTTCTGGATTTTGGCTACGATAGCAAGCAAATGGAAGGAGAACTTAACGAGATAGATTGTATGATCTACATGAGATCATACTTGCTTGCCTGCAGGAGTTTTAGGTCTTCTTCTTCTAGATGGTGGTCTTTCGCCTACCTTGAATTCACTTCCATCATCTGGATCATGCTTTGCAAACAACTTTGGGTTTGCTTCCATGCTGCATGGCTAGAAAAGGCTCAATGCAGTCTCACCCCTGGACATAAAATTGACAGGCACGAAAACAATGGGATCCGTTTCTTTTCACTCGCTTGCTTCTGCCATGCACAACTTTGGATATGAGACTAGAGCTACGTACCTTCTCTTCGCCCGTGCCCGCAAAGCTCTGGAATGTCCCTGCATCGCTGATCTCCGTGAAGGCCCCTGCGGAAAGCAATTTAGCGAGGCTTTCGTGTGCTACTTTCAGAGTCGGAGGCCATATTCCTCAACCTCTTCTTTAGAGTAGAGATCTTCCTGCATTTCAGGCACGGCGCCAACATCTAAGAGCTGTAAGTTCATAGCCGATTCTTCCTTCAGGGAAATCTCTAAGCTAAAGAAGCTTCTGACTTTCTAAGATCTTTTCATGAGAAGTCTAGCATTGCAAGCTTCGATCGCATGCTAGAGGATGTTGTCGGCAACATGGAGGTGGATATCAACAGTGACGTGGACATCGTGGATGCTACCGCGAGCAATGCAGCCCGGCACAGAGGGGTTTGAGCGAACTGTCCTCAATTTTCCTGAGGCTCTTCAAATTTTCTGCTAGTCTTCCCTGTGGCCTCCGCAAACTCCCTCAAAGCTTCAATGGCCATCTCTTGTCCTATAATTCCTCTTAAACCATTGCAACCACCTAGAACTTGCCATCCAACCGGTGGAGCAAGGGCAGCCATGCCGAATCATAAACAGTTAGTTATTGACTCAACAGAACTACTGCTTCTTACCAACTGGGAATCATCGCTCATCTGGTGAGGACACTCTCCAGGTGATCCAACAGCTCCTTGGCTTGCCACAATCCGAAGGACACAGTGCCACAAGCTAGCGCTCATGGCTTGCCGTGGTCCAATAGTCAGGGCTGTTAGAATTCAGTTCTCTTGGGACTGTAATCAAAACTATGAACATCGGAAAAAAAACGAAAAATGAATCATGCTTACAGCTTGTAACTCTGTGCTAAACTCTCCTCTCGAGAATTGTGGTTTCTCGGTGGAAAACAAAAGAAAGAGGAAAGAGCTACACGTGGTGACACGAACACGCCCCCAGCCGTGTTAACAAGGGCCGTGTTCATTGACTCGGTCAATGCTCCAAAACACGGCTCCAAACACGGTTCAAATACCGTGTGACCACGCCGTGTTCTAAAACAATAGCTCACGTGGTTCACATGAGCGTTTTGCGCTTTGATGTTTTCTTGTCTTGCGATCAATCAAAAATTCCTACGATCAATCAAAAGGTTTTTCCAGCGATCTATGGCAATTTTCTTGGGTTGGGAATGCCCTCTCTAGGATTCTAGCGCTGGAGTGGGAGGAATGGCGCTCAGCCACGCCTAATTTCGCTGCAAAAAATTCCTAATCATTGTCTCCAAGTTTGTAGATTTTCTCTCCCAAATTTTCTCCTTGGATTGCTTCTACCATAATTCTTAGCTGCTTGGCATGCATCTTTGTAGATTGCTGTGATTCTTAGTTGCTTGGCATTGCGATTGTGTTATTGACGGTGTGATTCTAAAATTTTGAGTTTTTCAAAAATTTTTTAGGCGCAGGGCGTGACCGATTGTGGATTGGAACAGGAGCACCTTTAAGGGATTTTAGAGGCTGAGCAATTGTGGATTGGAGCAGCAGCAGGGTGTGGGATTTTAAAGGTTGGACTGAGTGATTGTGGATTGGAGTAGAA